TCCATCCATCCATCCATTCCTCTGTCCATCTGTCCATCCATCCATCCATTCCTCTGTCCATCTGTCCATCCATCCATCCCTCCATTCATCCATTCCACCCAAGAATCTGTCCATCCACCCACCCACCCACACATCCACCCATGCAGGGAACATTTCTCAAGGATCTAGCATGTGTCAGGCCCTGTGGTTGGCAGTAGGCCTGCGATGATAACATGAGTAAACACGGCCTCACTCTGGGGGAGCTTACACTGTACTGGGATTAAGAGGCATCAAAGCTCCTTGACCTGAAGCCCCTAAGAAAGGTCCCCCAACTCTTCAGCAGCCAGACCACAGGCCGTGAGAAGAGGGGGTGTGGGTACTGACCCACCTCTGCGTCCTGCCCCAGAGATGCAGTTGGCAATGGGCCTGTGGCTGCCCTCCTGACTGCCTCTTGGACAGTGGGGGCCAGGGTCAGGGAGAAGGAGATGTAAGGGAAATAGGTTGTCTTGTCAGTTGGTTGGAAAAAGAGCTTGTCGTGGAGCCTGAGTATCTAAAGGAAAATCATCATATCCTTTCTGAGGCAGACGGATGATTGTGTTTACAGGGCTAGGGAATGTGGAGGAAAACACGCATAGAGACCCCAGAAGCAGCCAGCCGCTGACACTCAGGCACACTTTGCCGCCGGCTTCCAGACAGGCGATTTCAGGGGTGCTCCCCCCGGAAGGCGCTCTCAGGGGCCTTCTCTGAGTGAAATAAGGCGTGGTTGTTCCCACACCAGACACTTACCAGTGTCCCAGTGTCCCCAGACCCTGGGGACGCACGACCCCTCCTCCCTGCTCTTCTCTCCCGGCCCCTCCCAGGTTTGTCTACCTTCCCAGAGGCACCTGCCCCTTCTAGAATGCCTTGTTCCAGGCATTTGTGCCCCAGGGTCTACAGGGATGCTCAGCCAGTGGTGGAGAGGAATGAATGTTTCCAGCGAAGGAGCAGGGAAGGGGGAGGGGCTGCTGCTGGCTCGCTGCATCACCCCCCCTGGTCGGGGTCCCTCTGTGCTGCAGTCCATGTCCCTGATCAGCTGATGACCTGGAGAGCCTCCTCCAACATCAGGGGCTTTGTCTCCAGACAGCCCCACGGAGAGGCCACTTGCTAACGCTGGGGTTCACCTCATTCAAGATTAGACAGATCCATCTGTAATTATCACAGTCGCTTGGAGAAGCCCCTCCCCCTGGGCTTGAGGTACCCCTGCCCCTCCGGAGGTCCCCAGGCTGCTCTGGTGTCCGCTGGAATGTCACACCATTGCTTCCGCGGTTTGGGGAGTGGGGAGCTCTCGGCAGGGCTCCTCTCCTGCCTTCCTTGGGGCTCCAGCGACCCCTGCTGTCCCCAGTATGGGTGTCTTCTCCGGCTGGTTCTTATGGACCTTCTGGACTAAACAAAAGGCTTCGTCGTTACCCCTGGGCCGGGCTGCCCTCCCGTGCCTGCGGCTCTGCGTGCCTGGTGAGCCTGGTGGGAAGGGGCCACCCCGGGGCGAGACCGCTCAGCTCCTGATGTCAGGACAGCTGCAGGATCCGGGGCCCGGTGCCGGATGAAGTGGGCAGCCCCCATCTGGACTAAGGATTTCAAGGCAGTGACAGAAGAGCATCTGACCACTCACGGCCCCTCCCGAGCTTTGGGCCTGCAGACTGCGCGGTCCCAGGCCATACCCCGGCCCCGCATGCCTGGCCTGCAGGCTGTGGCCCTCTTCGAGGACGGGCAGCGCTGGCGGGCTGTGCACCAAACCTGCTGCGAGGCGGACGCAGCCCCCCGCCGCCCGCGGACTGCCGAGCCGCCCCTCCCACGCCCAGCGGGAAGGCTCTCCCTTTCACTGTATTTTAATTCCTTGGAAAACCTTGAGCTCAAAAGGAGACCTGGTTTCAGTGTTTCTGGTTAACTGTTTCCCAGCAACATTTCACACCAAAGTCAGCACTGGAATTCCTGGCTCCCTGGCAAGGGTCTGGCTCCACAGTCCAGCCGAGACGGCTCAGCCTGGGGGACAAGGGCGCAAGGGGGCATCTGAACACTGATGTCGTCTCCAGGGAGTGAGTGTCGCCTGCCAGCCCCCTTTGCTCATGGGCAGGCTGGTCGACCCACCAAGCGCCAAGGCAGCAGCTGGTGTCCTGCCGAGGAACATGGGCCCCCGCCTACCTCTCATGCACACCCCGTTTCTGTTTGTACTTTTTGCCCCATGTGACTTCAAGGCCTCGATCAGCACCAGGCTCTGCCCGGGAGACGTGTGGCGGCCGCAGCTAGATGGCTCGGTGGCAGGCCCGCTCAGGAAAGTGGGGGTCACGGGCTGGCCATCCCCTGGGATCTGGGGTGGTGTGCTGGGCCTGGGGGGCAGACCCCTGGTCCTCTCCAGGGACGCCTGTGGACCACAGCCCCTCCTCACTCCAGCTGACCAGAGAGGAAGCAGAGAACTTGGCCGCAGGTGGTTGGGGGAGGTGGGGGGAAACGTCCACCTGTCCCTGCACACTCGGCTCCGTGTCCGAGCCTCCAGGTGACCCGCTGACCTCCGGACAGCTGGCGCGCCTTCCCTCCCGTTGCCCGCCGCCTCCTGGGGCTCCATCTTGGGAGAGGGGAACCCACCACGCCACCAGGAGTTAAGTGTCCCCGCCGGCTCTGTGAACTGGGAAACGTGCTCCGGGGACTGCCCACCTCAACCTCTCAGACGCGAGGGATGTCTCCCAGGGCCAGCCCTGGCTGCCGCCTCCCGCAGCATCACCCCAAGACCCCGTGAGGTGACCGGCAGCAGGGAGACCACGCGGCCCGGCTGGAGAAGCGGCCGGATCCATTTGCCCAACTCTGGAGTGAAAGCTCGTGTTCCATCTTTCCGTTCTCTGTCCCGCCGCGGAGAAGCCGTCGAGAACTGTCCCGTCTTCCCCAGGGCTGGGAAGCTGCTCCGGGCAGTCCAGACACAGACACGAGCCCGCACAGGACGCCCACCAGGGCCTTCGGGGCAGCGGGGCCAGCTGCCGGGGTGTTAGCCCTCTCTGCCGCCTGCCAAGCGAGCACAAACCGGCTTAGCCCAGCGCCCGACCCCGGCTGTGTGTCCCGTGGGCTCGGAAATCGAGGTGACCTGCCTGCAGGTGTCTGCCTCCTGCTCATCGGATCCCTTCCTCGCTGGCCGCCGGCCGGCACCCTCTCACCCCCTCTCACCCCAGCGTTCCCCGGCACGCGGCCCCTCCACTTCCTCCAGCAGCTCTGAATCCTCCCTCCCTCCTGGCCCCCGACCCCCGGGAGGCCGCCAGCCAGGCCACCGTGTCCCGCCCGGACGCACCTCCCCATCAGAAACGTGGCCCGATCACGGGGCGATCTCCCATTGCGTCCACGTCTGGGGCTCCACACCCCACGTCCTCAGGCACCTTTGACTCTGTCCCCACGTGAGAGCGAGCAGATGGGCTATGGACACGGGTCGCTCTGAGACAACCAGCAACACATCAGCGTTCAAATGCACGAAACAGAGAGGGGTCACCTTTGCTTTGCAGGATGATCTCTAGAAGGTTCTTTTGAGGATTCCATAAGTAAGACCTGCTACTGAGTCCTGCCACGGCTCTCGTCTTGGGCAAATTCCCAAGTCCTCCTGTGCCTCCCTTGGCCCATCTGTAGAGCAGAGATCGGGACGGTACCAGTCTCGCGGGTGCTCCCAGAAGCTCAGGCCATTACCCGATGCGGGCGCCGGGGCCTTGCCCTGCCCTGAGCAGGTGTGCGGCCGGTGCTGGCCATGGCAGGAGTCCCCGGCACCCAGCGAAGGTGCTTCCAGGGCCCATGTGGAGTGCTCCTCGGCCCCAGGAGGAAGCTGGTGGCCCGCAGTTAGGACACCAAGCAGCGTGAGCCTTGAAGAGGCGGCAGGTGGCTCTGGTTCCTCCCCTCTCCTGTCCCCATGGGGACGCAGCACCAAGCCCCTGCGCTGGAGTTTCCCTGTCTTGCTCCCATGTGAGAGGGGACAGATGTCTTGCTCAGAGCATCGCCGGGGTAGGAACTTCCCTTTGCAGGAGAGACGCAGGTTTGCCGGTCCCAGGAGGCGCCCACGGCTCCCCTGGCACCATCCTGTCTCCGCAGCAAGACCGGATCTCCCCCCACCAAGCCCACAGCATGTGCCCAGCCTGAGAGGTGGGTGACGGTGGGGAGCTTAGAGACTTCCCGCAGAAGCCACGAATGCCATGAAAAGTTGGGGGGAGGGGGAGGGGTGAGACGGGAGGAGCCCCGGCCCTCCCCGCTGGGCCACCGCCGCCCGCCGCAGACTGTGCCGACACCAGCAGCTTCGCTCGGTGAGAAGACGCCGCCTCCAACCGTAGTTCACAAGGACCTTTCTTCCGTGGCTTCTTGACCTTTGGGCTGCTGCTGGGTTGCGTTTGACAGGATGAAGGGTCTCCTGGCCACACTGGAAGATGGCGGGGGGCGGGGGCCACCACTGGAAGATGGCGGGGGGCGGGGCCACCACTGGAAGATGGCGGCGGGGCGGGGCCACCACTGGAGGGGGGGGGGGGGGGGGGGGCCACCACTGGAAGGGGGCGGGGGGCGGGGGCCGAAACAGCGAGGGGCGCGTCACGGCCCTTC